GAGATCAACCAAGAGAATCTTATTGAAAGATGAACACTATATATGTGCAGGGTATGTTTCACTTTCATTTCCTAATGCGTATGTTTGTTATATTTGATAGAGAATTTCATTAACAATTGAATAGAAAAAACAGCAACTAATTAATCAACAATCAAATCAACCAAATACATCTTACACCGCTTATTCATTATCAAAAGTTGATTGATTACAATTTATGTATTTTTTTAGAGCATAAAATAGAAAATAGGTATTTGTATATCAATGATAATCCAATTATTATTGCATAAAAGTTTTTCTAGTTCATTATAAGTAACCCGATTATGGGTTACACGATTCATCAACGTTTAACATCCATAGATATATACGTATGTTTAATAAAGTTTAATAAATTCGCCACGCGAGACATAAGATCTAATAATCGTTAAAGCTTCGGCAGAAAAGTAGAAAAAATTTGTAGATTGAATAAATAAATTAAGCTACATATGCATTTTCAAGGAGGTTTGTGTATCATGCAATATTAATAATCGGTTTATAATATGATTGTCAGGTCCTTGTATTGAATCTTGTATTCTTATAATGGCCTTGTATTGCTTACCTTTTTTTAAATATAGAATCTTGCTCATTTTTGTCAATATCCAATTAACATTGTGCAACATTTTTACTATCGTAAATTTAACGTATATTCCGAAAATATTTGCGATACACATGACTTTTTTTCAGAATGCATTATCAAAAGGAGTAATGTGCTACCTTGATAGACAAAAAAAAAAAAACTTAACGAACCCTCTCTAAAGAGTTGACAAAATTTAAAGTCGCCACTTGTGTTCGACTATTGTTTCATACCTGATATTGTGTATTATTACTATATACGTATTTATATTTTTTGCAGTTTTATTCCGAGTTATGTTTGTATAATAACAAAATAAAAAACAATATAACAATAAAATAATTCATAAAAGTCACGTAATTCACATATTACTAGTTTCTATATGTTACAACGGTTTTAATTACTTCTCTGCGATCTTTACAATCTTTATTTTTCATTTTTTTTCATTCTTTATACTTTTTCATTCAAAGTACACTTATAATTCTATGGCATTCTAAGACAGAAATGCTAACTAGACATCCTTCGAGTATCAATTTAAATACAGACAAGGATGAAAAGGACGTTTCCATTATTACCAACACCACCGATACCGGCACTAATACACACAATAACATAATTTCGACAGAGAAAGCTGTTAAACAAGTAATAACCGTTGCAAAACTCGTGGGTGAAAGCTTTGATAGAACAATGTCTACCGGTACTGACGAAGTTTTAAACGGTAAGAATCACTTTTAATTCCCATAATAATAATAATAATAATAATAATAATAATAAATAATAATCAAATTTTGATGATATGATTAAAGGCGAGGCAAAAGAATTTTTTGAATCAAATCTTTTGCCTACTAATAAAACTAAAGCAAACAGATCATCAAAAGAATATAGTTTAGGATCAGGTACAAGCAGTAGTTCTATGGATGATAAAGAGGAAAAATTAAGCAAAGAAGAAGTAAAGGATACTACATCTTTTGTTTTGGTTGCGGAAATAAATGATTCCGAATCTTCATCCGGATCTGGTGGTACTAATGAACCGGATTCACCCCCTTTAAGTACGTCGATATCTAACATTATTGAACTTGAAAGAGGAAAGGGCTCTTTAAAGCGAAAAAAATCAAATCGTTCTATATTTTCAGTATTGTCTTTATCCAACAAAGATACAAGTAAAGGTTCTTTATCAGAATCTGAGGGTGATCCTCTAAAAACGACATCACCCAAATCACCATCGAAATCCGAAAGAATTTTAGGACGTTCGGGTTTTTCCTCTTTATCTATAAGAAATCGTCGTTCTAAATCCACTATATCCTTAGATCTTTCTTTGTCACCTGAACATTCTAAATTAGGGTCATCTGATATTCCCGAAAAGACTTCAAAAGTTGGAAAACTTCTTGGTTTGACTCCAATGGAAGAAAGGATATTATTGGATAAACCTTCGAATGGTAAAATTAATAAAAAGATGCGCAGTCCTCCCTCTTCATCTGTTGATGAAAAAAATAGAATTAGTAATCAGATCATAGGTGGAAGTAGTAATAAAGTTAATAAAATTCTTGGTGTATCAGACATACACATTAGGAAATGAAAGTGAAACATACCCTGCACATATATAGTGTTCATCTTTCAATAAGATTCTCTTGGTTGATCTC